AGAGATATCTGGGAGAGAAGGACTGAAGTTGACAAGGACAACTATAACACTCTTTGCTTGGATCAAAAGGCAACAAAAAGTTATGATAAAGATTAGAAGCAAAGAAGAGATCAAGAGATGTGAATGAATGAATGAATGTTTTTGATTTCAATTTTGTTTTAATGGAGATTTGGTTCTTGATTACCAGTAAGCTGCAAAACACACTCCTAAATTGTAGGTTTCTTTAATTATATGCAAATCATAGTGTATGAGACAAATAATTCATCCCTTCTTACAGCATGTTTTCAAGTATTTTTCTTAATTTAACAGTTCTTAATCAGCAGCCACCCTATTGAGTAGGGAGCTAGAGAATGAGCCTGAAAGGATGGCAGGGAAGTCTAAAAAGACAAATAACTTTCAAATTTTACTAACATTAGAACCGCATCTCTCTCTCTCTCACACGCACACAGAGACACACACATAGAGAGAGATTAGAGTACAGATGATGAATCATGATTTCTCTGCAGTATCTATTTTAGGAGTGATCTTATTGATTTGGGATAGTATTTACAACTTCAGACTGACAGTGGCTTATCCATGAACACTCAGGCTCAGCCTCAGGGTAAATGAGAAAAACAGATAGGGTTGAATCAATGAACACCCAACTTTATAGTTAATATTAATATGACCACTCAATTGATGAAATATTATATAAAATTAGATAGTCATGATGAAACATTATATGAATTTCAGTGATTCAATTGAAATTTCGGTGACCAAAATGAAATTAATCCAAGAAGGAATGATCATGCTAATGTCACAATATTAATTACTCTATTATCCAGTGATTACTACCAATTATAAGTTTTATTATATCTTTATAATTATAACTTGAAAGCATTTTCGAAATATATATTTCTTCGAGAATAAAAGCTTTAGTTTATTTTAATAAAAATTATGTCATTAAAATTAATTGTTGACTTTAATCTCAAATTTTTAGCAATTTTTTAAAATTATATGAGGTGTAGACTTATTCAGTTTCCAAAATAATGTAAACAATATAATCTCTTATTCTGAAAACTAATTAAGCGACAGTCTTAAATATTTCAAACCCAAAAATGGCATTCCAATTGGGACCATTTCTTATTCAAATATACGTACATAGTATATATACGTATCCTTATTTTTATGCTCTTGATCTCGAAACAATACTACTTTTATATTGGACTGAACATAATTAAGAAAGAAAAATGTGCAGTTGTAACTTGAACTCATTAGGGCTTGCTTGGGAATTTTGGCTACTGGTTATGAATGTTTTTTAAAGTATCGGTTTTGAATGGTTTTAGCAGCGTTTTTTAAAACTGCCCAACCTGTGTTTGAGAGTTTATTATCCGTTGATTCTGAAAGTCTTTTAAAAGAATAAAATTAAATATATATCTCTTAGTAAAAATTTTGGTGTATTGTTTCTTATATGAAATTTTTTCCTCACTTATAGGTAATTTTTACATATAAGTTAATATTTAACTTTAAAAATTTAATCAAATTAAATATTTAATTAAAATTTCAAATTAATTTTTTTACTAGTAAATTTTACAATTATTAGTTAATTTTACTGATAAGTAACTTTTTATATTTTATAAGTGGATTTTTATCTTATTAGTAGTATTTTTATTTTATAAACATTTTTGTTATATAAAAGTATTTTTTTTACGTATTAGTAATTTTTTAATTATTATGTATTTTTTCTTATTTTATAAGTAATATTTTACTTATAAGTATTTTTAAATTATAATGTAATTTTTTGCTTATAATAATTTTTTAGTTAATATATTTTTATTTACAAGTTAGTTTTGAAGAAAATATGTTGGTTGAAAATAATTATTGTATAAATGGTAAAATTAGAAGAGAATATAAGAAAAAGTCAAAACTCATCGATTTGATGGCTTGAGAAAACTGATCAAAATTACACTACGTCGATTTTGAGTGGTTTTTAATTCATCGAAACCAATGCTTTAAAAAACTAGAAAGCACCGATTTTTCTAACACCTCATAAATTGTGTCATCCAAAACCTGTCAAAACCCGTGAAGAGGAAAAAAAAAAAAAAAATTCCAGGCCCTTGAGGTGATTCGGTCCCTACACAAAAAAAAAAAATGTTAGTAAAAATGCAGTCGCGCTAACTCAACTTTTTTCTTGCAATAAGATTGATTTCATGAATTACATGTTTTTTTTTTTCCCAACTTGTAATTTCCATAAACAAAATGGTGAAGCAAAACAAAATAATTGGAAGAAGCCCCATAGACCATAGTGCACAAACTAAGGCCTCGTTCGGGAGGGATTTAAAGCCAATTAAAATTGAAAATATGGCCGTTATTGGGTCCCACTCGTCTAATAAAAGTCAACAATAACGGCTATATTTTCAATTTTAATCCAATTTTAATCCCTCCCATACAAGGCCTAAGTTAGAAATTATTGAGGTAGGCCTGATCTCCTTTGAATTCATCCTTTTCAACAGTCTAATTCCACTTTTTCTACAAAATTCTGACTGCAATTTCTTGGGTTCAACTTTTGAGATCGTTTGATTTTGGGACTACCCTCCCTCCTCATTTTTCCTTTCTTGCATTTACATTACACACTTTCTGTCTGTAAAAGTTAAAGAATCATAATACATATCCTTGTGATCATTCATCAAGTGTAATGTCTATTGTATTTCATTTCTTGTCGCTTCAAACTCGCTACTTAAAGATGATGGAATAAATTTATTGTGGTTGGTTCCAAGTTCGGAAAGTCCATGTTGAAAAAGATGGGTGATTGTGTGTAGATAAATCATCAATTAACATAACAATTTTAGATAACATAAAAATATAATTCAATAATAGCATAAACATAAAATATAAGTAGAGAGTGTTAGGAAAACAAATCTTAGGAGGTCACGTCAACGACACTATCCTAAAGTCGCATTGTCTCTCCTTCGTGCAATTATTTTCGACACTACACGACTCCAAGATAAAACTCATGTGATTCACAGCCGATTCTCCTTTTATGGACATGGACATAAGAAGATAAAGAACGAACTTTTATCGAATTGCCAAAATATAAAAAAATAGTCTGAAATGTAGATGTAGTATTTTTTCAAGTCATGTATTCTCATATTCAGTACCTCGATGAAAATCACACACGGGATAAGTTTAACTCCCATAATCATGAATATTAAACCAATTAATATGTAAGTTACAAAATATGAATTATGATGTTCTTAATTTGTGTTAAAACTAAAAATTATATCAAAAACATAAAATTAAATGGTTTTAATATTGAAAGATTAAAACTTCATTTTTATGTTACAAGTACATAATGACATATCTCTCTCTCTCTCTCTCTCTCTCTCTCTCTCTCTCAAGTCTAATCTAACTATGGTTTCCATCAAATATAAGGGTCTTTGATTTGCCAGTAAAAAAACTCAAAATCTGTTCTCATATCCAAAATCTTGGACTGCCTCACAAGATAGATAGTGCCTACCTAGACTTGCAATTAGTACGTTAACCTCCAACCCTTTTCTTTCGGGTAATCATCCTCTTGATGTTTATACGTTGCCGTTCTATACCATTTCACTAAAGATTTGCATGTATCAATCATCACCCTCACCCTCTCTCTCTCTCTCTCTCTCTCTCTCTCTCTCTCTACATAAGTCTCCCACCAGTCACCCTCTCTATCTCTCTCTCGGCGGTGGCTCCTTCGGCGGTGTCCTCTCTTCCCTTCTTCCTCCTCTCCTTCTCCTCCCCATCCC